GGAGCTGCCAAAGGTATCAAAGCAGCAAGGGTACTATTAATAGCTTGAGGAGATGAGTACTATACTTTATACCCAAGCGACTGCTGCTACACCTGACCAAAGTTCTCGGTGGGTATCTTGTGTTCTTCTGCTGATGATGAGCCAGTCAACACTCACACCACAACGTCGTCGAAAATAGTGACAAGAGTCTTGCCTTTGTTTTGCTGCTTGCACAGGTCGTAAAAGCATGCATCCGAGATGGTTTTTTGTGCTGCACGGCTGTCTTTCTCGGTGGGTCTGTTCACTTCAAAGAGCAGCTTTGTTGTTTCAGGAAAGATTTAATACACTGTTTTCGCAGTATTCGCTCCTGCTTAACCCTAATTTCAAAACACACATTGATACATGGAAAGAACATCCTGGACAATCTTGAGGCCTTTTTACTTTGGAGTAGTTAGAAGAAGAATAAAAGATTTACAAGAAGAATTCAGGGCTTAACCAAGACTACTCTAAGTCATCTACTGGCTCAATTGAAGATGGCTGTGAGTGGGCAAGACGAGGTTTAACAGTCACATGAAGGTGTCATTCAGTGGTGCGTCGTGGAAACTTGAAGCCTGCGGTACTGGTAGTACCCGTACCTGTACCCACTGCCAGGAAATCTGTCTACGACCCTTCAAGCGTTGGATCCATCATCCCATGATAGCTCCAAGATTGGTTTTACACCATACCTTGCCGGGCTACAGTGTAGTAGCTACCGGTATGACATAGTACTCCAAAGCTTTGAAATATCCACCAACATTTAGACAAGGCATATGCGAATATGTTGTCGTTGTCTACGACTCGACTCCTCTAGTTGTTTGCAGCACCACCCCTGCTACCGGTACAGTCAGTTGTACCGGTGCCGGTACAGCCAGGTAATTGGTTTCTTCCCCTTAGGTACCGGTACAAAGAAAGAGGTGCGCAACAAGTTCAGGTGTCGTCTTCCAACAATTGAATGTTTCTTCTTGGTTTACTATAGTACGCTGTACCGGTATCTTTCCATGGTGCGGGGTGGGGGACCAGAACGCAGGGCCGAGTGCTTGCTTCCTTTAGCTTATGCGTAACACAAGCGGAAGAGTCAACTTTCATGTGTGATGCCGCACCGCAGGGGTACCAGCCAGAAGGCGTGTTAAAAATTTAAAAAACAGAAACCAGGAATGCCTTAGAAAGCACCTGCTTCAGCAAGTCACCAGTAGCAACGGCATCATAGACACAATGTTGCTTCACAGGCCCTGTCCGCAGTTGCTTCAGCAATGGATTCACAAAGACAACGTAGTTGTACCTTCTTGGTACTGAGCATACTAACAGCGGGACTTTGGGCATTTTCTTTTCGATTGAATCATTCACAGGAGGTACAGTCGTAAACCGTGGGACAAGCAGGCGAGGGGCAGAAACTGAACGTTGGGTTAGGGCTTACATGTGCTCCTTTGGGATCAAGAATCTCAATCGAGATCCTTTGACTTTGACTTTGACTTTGCAGGAAGCTTCGCATGAACGATGATGAGAATCGAATGCTTTCAGAACAACACTGACAAAGGTGTCAAGGGTAGATTGATATTGCAAACCATGGGGTTTTCCCTTCATGGGGCATAGAATGGGATTGACCATCTTGTGAAACAAAGAAAATACTCTCGACTGTTGAACCAACGGCAACTCAACGAAAGCGACAATGACTTGGACCCTTCTCCACTCTGCATGCGAGCACCTCGACGCCAAAAGCATCTACGATCGTTGTAAGTTGGGAACGAATGAACCACTTGAACATGACGACCACGGATCCACACCTTTGCACATTTTGGCCTGGGGCAATCCTGATCCACAACTACTACAAGCGCTAGTTGCTTCGTGCCCGGTGGCAGTTTCGGACAAGGACGTCCATGGGGACACTGCCCTTCATGTGGCTTGCAGCTTTCCAGAAACGACAGTAAAGGTTGTAAAAGTCCTCCTTGATGCCTGTCCAACATCGGTTAGCATGACCAACAAAGAGGGGCTGATGCCATTGCATATGGCTTGTCGATTTGCCCCCAACAACGAGGCCGTGATTGGTTATTTGATTGATGCCTATCCATGTGCTTTACGCTCCCGTATCAAGGTAAGAATGATATCAGAGTATTCGAGAAATTCCGTCTTTGCTGCTTCATCACCGTTCATCCATTCCATAAACAATCTTCGTCGAACAGATGGGCTCTCCTGCCCCCTTCCGAAAGCGAACCAGCCTTCGCAACAAACCGGGAGATCACTTTGTGTCGCGTGAAGTAGGTGCCACGGACTTTGTGGAGGCTCGATTCCGAACCATAACTGCTCAAGTGAGAGATGGTGCCTACCCGCTTCACATGGCAATCAAAGCTGGTGCTCCTACATCCGTCCTGGAGATGATGCTAAAGGAAGCTGACGATGTGATGTATATGATGGACAAGTTCGGCCAGACACCACTGCATGTTGCCATGGCTACCCAAGCCGAAGATGGAGTGATCGAAATGTTGGTTGAGAATGGAGGGATGAAGGCGGTTTTGGCGAAAGACAAATCCGAGAATCTACCCATTCACCTCGCAGCAATCCATGGATGCTCGGTGAGAGCTGCCAAGGGATTGCTTCAAAAGTGCTTGCCTTCCATTCACGAAAAGAACGCCGCCGGGCTGACTATCATGGATCTTGCCCTCGAGTCTGGAAAATGTGGTGAAGATGTTCTTCGTTTGTTTGAGATTACCAAGGATGAAACTCAGGAGGAGGATGAAAAGAAAGAGTGACATCGTCGTGCGAGGCGCTGACACGAGAGTTGCCATTGTCACTTAGAGAGAATACACTACTAGAGTAGCTCGCTTTGCATTGCGCAGAGTAGAACCCTTGAAAAAACAAGTCAGCTACTGATAGGAACTTGAAATAAATGAAGAAACCACAGGCTTAGACTGCATCTGGCCCCGTTCGTGATCGTTACAACTACATACAGTACATGTGCATTCGCAGGCCAACGACAGGGAAATCTTCATCCCACGGACAGTCAGTCATCTCATTTGAAGATACCCAAACGGCCATTCTGAGCCACTCTGCTGCCTGTTGCTTCATCCCATTGAGTAGACTTTGCCGTGTCTCCCTTGACCAAGCCTCTCGCATATGTCGTCCTGTCGCTTCTCCATGCTTCACGTTCACTATGGCTAAGCTAAGCAATGTGCGGGGCTCACACATGCTCCTGACTTCGACTGGCTGCAACTGCATGATGGAGCTAGGGAAACTGCAAAGGAAGCAGTCACAAACAGGAGCCAATCCAGAGCCAGTCAAGTCAATCCACTCATTGCTCTGAGCAGCCAACCAAGGAAGATGACCATGGTGCCTCTTCGCGAGATACGGTACCCATCCATCCCACCCTGGCTGCTCAGTTCAGTGTTTGGGTTCCACAAGCTCTGGGTTGATGCAACTAGATTGCACCAATCCCACACTGGTTGTTCCCTATCTAGGGACAACTATCGGTAGCTACCGGTAGCCAGCTACTAGTAGCCAGCTGGCAGATAGTCCTCTTGGACTGCCCATGCATGCCATCTAGCTAGATTGCGGACGTCTTTGGCGGTTGATGGGAGTCAGGGAGGCGGTCACTCCGTCAGATTCCTTCACTCAGAAGATCGATGTGTCATGCTGTGGTGGGAGTTTCCGGTGAGTCAAGGATACTAAGGACCAAACGACTGAGTCAGTGCACGCATCTTGCTCTAACAATGCGCGTGGGAGAATCCTTTGACACTGACACAGCGAACCCAACTCCGGACGGACACTGGACATCAACTCGCTTACTCACGGCCAGGTCAAACCTGAGCCAGCTAGCAGCAACCGCCACAGCAGACTGAGAGGTGGAACTACAGTCGTAGCTAGCTAGCCAGACAGCAGAGCGTCAGGATTCGATCTCGTATTTCGATGGAGTCATTGGAATTTGGAATTACTCAGTGCATTCTTCCCTGATACCAATTTGTCTGTGTAGTTCACAATCCCAACCAAAGTATTCTTTTTCTCTCAAGTTTATTAACCCGATAACACAGACACCATGGTCATTGCCACTACCATCAATGCGACTGCTGCCCGACGAAAGCGTTCTCGAAGTTTGGTGGGTTTAAGTTTAGCCCTTGCAGCTCTTTGTGTGGAGCCTTCGACGGCATTTTCCAATCCACCCGTGATTGTTTCATCCGTATCGAAACATATTATTCCATCGCTACAATCCACTGTTGCGCCACCACTCCCTACTAGTGCCCTGCGAATGGTCTCCTCCTCTGTGTTGCGAGAAGTAGTAGACCACGACGACGGCAGTGCTCGAGGTCGTCATGATTCGATAGCAAGTGCACCACCTCGCTTGTCCCTCGAAGAAGAGAAGGAGCTACTGCGACAAGCTGTTGAATTGCGACGTCTCAAAAACTTGGAAACAGAATTGGCATTGCGAAGCAACAACGCCACTCCCCTGCTGTCGATTCGATCCAAAGAGGCTGGATACGGAGAAGATATTGTTGCCTACGAACAAGCGCTATTGGATGGAGAAATGGCAAGAGAACAACTCATCACCACCAACATGGGATTGGTCTATTATTGCGTCAATGAAATCATTGGCAACAAGAGCCGGGGCACCAGCACTCGCCGCTTGAACTCGCTCAGTCGAGACGATTTATTGCAAGAAGGTGCGATTGGACTGGCACGAGCCATTGATCGATGGAATCCTGCCATTGGAGGAAAGTTCTCGACGTACGCCGTATATTGGGTCCGGGCCGCCATTTTGAGATGCATTGCGGAAAAGGATGACATTCTGCGAGTACCGGAACACGTGTCGGCGGCGGTGCGCAAAATGTCACGAGGAGCCCAAAAGCTGGGACTCGATGTCGATGGGGACAGTTTGCTCTCCACCGTGTACGCATCCGATGCTAGTTGGAAGGAAGCCCTTGCTGCCAAGGCACTGGCCGAAGAAGCTGGATTGACCGATAGGCAATTGGCGGAAGCACTCAGGATTCGTAGCCGACGCAATGCCGGAGGATATGTCGCATTTGAATCATGGATGCAAAAAGGAAAGGATATCCAATCGGATGTTTCGACGTTGGCTACGCGAGAAGAAGCACTGCGCCCTGTGCAGGTGGAACAGTTGAAAAAGACCTTGGGACGATACCTGAGACCAAAAGAGATGGAAGCTTTGTTTTGGAGATACGGACTGTTGGACGAAAGCAGCGCTGATCAGGAACAACCAGCAGCTCCATCCAACAAGCCAAAGCAACCCAAGAACTACCTGGCCATTGCCGAAGAAGAACTCTACGGAAAACCCGCTGATAAGAAAACAAAGCAAAAGAAGGCAACAAAAGCCAAAAAGTCATCGTCTCGTGCTACCAAAGCTGCTGAGATCCCCGTGCGCGGAAAGTGGGGGGAAGCAATGAGCTTTGTGGAAGTGGGAAAGAGAATGGAAGTGTCGGCTGAGTACGGCAGACGGTTATGCCATGCCGCTCTCAAGAAGCTGCGACAAGCAGCCGATGATGGCTTGCTCGAACCAGCGCTTCTCTGCTAAGACGTCTCACTCCCAAACAAAACCAATCAACTCAAAAACAAGACGCGACCTCACTCTACGCACTCTCAACACTACACACACATAGAAACCATATAGACACCATGTTATCACTTTTATTTCGATACGACAAAGTAAGAAATAGCGAAATCATGTACACGTATGTACCCATCCACAAGCTCCTCATCGTCAGACACCACACCAAGTAAACAATCACAATCCCGAGCTCCTGGTTACAATTCGATACGGTATCACTAGCTAGATCAGTATTCATTTGTAGCTGGCGAGTGTGATGCACCAGGCCAGTCAATCTTTGCTCGACACAAAGAGCGGCGAGATAGTATCAAGAAACGTTTCCTGAGATTGTGTGGCATGTGCCCAGTAATCTTTGGCGGATGGATCTGGACTAGATTCGTGCAGAACGTGAAGCGGTTCGTCTTTGAACGAGGACTTCTCTCCCAAGGCGACGGCAACCGCAAGGGCGACTCCTCGACTCGTTCCTTCTTCTGTATCACCGTCCATGATCACATTCATGCCACTGCAATCGGCAATCAGCTGTCTCCACAATGAATTGACCTCCAATGCTTTGCCACTCGCAATCACGCAAGGTTGCTCCTGACTGCTCGTCATTGTACTGCGGATCAAACCAAGAACAGCATTCAGGCGTAGTGTCACGCCTTCCAGACTGGATTTGAGCAGGTGAGATGGTGTTGTCTCCCGTGTCAAACCAAGAATGGCCCCTGTGGCACCGACACGATACCCCGTGCTTCTTTCGCCGCTGAGAAAGGGAATCACCGTGAGTGATTGCTTTGTGGAAGATTGTTGTGCATAACAGTTGTAGTCTTCTTCCAAGAGTGTCTTGACCTGGGCCATGCACTCTTCAAAAGCTCCTGATGTTGCATTGAGATTCAAAAGGTTGGAAATCCATTCGACCACGCTTCCACCATCCGTCAATGCTCCACCGAGGAGAACGTGATCCCGATTGATGCGATAGCAGAAAAGTCCCTTGGGAACATTGATCGAATCCTTTGATTCACTGCTTCCAGTCGTAACAGGGAGAGGGAGACAGACCCGAGATGCTGCGGATGTCCCGATCGTCACAGCAATTCGCGATGCCGTGGAGCACTTGCTGCCAATGTTGGCACAAGCTCCGTCTCCCAAACCCAAGAATAGCCGGCATCCCCTAGTTTCTACCGTTGGTCCTCTCAATTCCGGCCATCGACCCCAGTACGGGTTACTATTTCCTGTGGAGCTCTTTTGTTGTTGTATGCCCCGCCCTAGGGAAGGGTAGCTTGTCAAGTCCGAGAAATCTGCCAAATCCGGCAACGACTGCCGGCAGGATTCCGGCAATAGGTCTACCACAGATGGTTCATACTGACAAGTTCGAAAGTTGAGCAATCCTGTCCAACTGGCTTCGGAATAGGATATAGGAGAGACTGTCGCACCTGCCCAGCGACTCAAGCAGATGCTGGGGATGGTTTGCCATTTGTGCACGGATGCTCGAACGGATTGGTATTGCGGATTGTTGGTGTCATAGATATCCAATAGCTGAGGAAGAGCATAAGCACTATGGATGGGCGCCCCGGTGGCGTGGTACATTTGATTTATGGATTCCTCACTCAATTTTCTGCAAATGAATTTGTTTGAGAGGTTTGACGAAGCACGTGGTGAGAAGATAGACCAATAGCCTATGGTAACAAGATATATTCACTTACATTCTCAGATTTTTGCACTGCTTGGCAACTTCTGGTGCATTGCAGGCATAGCTGATGGAGGCTGCATCTCCCACAATAGTACCTCGATCATCAACGCCCACCAAATTCATTACAAAGCAGGAAAAGCCAATGGCCACCACTTGAAAGGTATCCTTTTTCCGCAAAATTTGCAACAACTCATCCATGCATTCGTCCAGATTATCCATCAGACTGGTGGTATCATCTTGAGAGTGCCCTCCCACCTCGATCTTTCCCGTGTTGGGTTGCACGGACCGAACGGATCGGGAAGTTCGGCAGCCGGCCATTGCTTGGCACAACGTCGGATCCTCATTGTCGCCTCGTTCTCCCTCAACAAACTTGTAGGCAGAGCAGCGAACACTGCTGCTCCCAATATCAATCGCTACTATTATATCCGTCTTCGACATGGTATTATCACTCTCTCTGACAGGGTGCTTCTACTGCTCTTGCTTCCAGTGCTGGAATTGCATGGGTGCCAAAGGGGCAGGGAAGGTTGGGGCCTTTGGATCTTTTGGATCTTTTGGTTTACAGCCTCACAGGCTTCGACTACCTCGAACCCCCTTCTCTCGACGTCGATTGAATTCCAACGAACGCTTCAAGCCCGGAACAATGATGGCCTCTCTCGACTTCATCAAGGATCTACTAGCTAGTACTCGAGCTCTAGCTAGGTAGCTGGCTAAGGTAGACGGTGATGTTGGGTCGGTCGGCAATTGGGACGGGGTCGAAGAAACAGCTCACAAAATTCGAAACCGAACAACCAAAACAAACAACTAAAACAAGCTCACACACAAAGAAACCCAAAATGTCTCCGATCCCCACCAACACCAGCAACAAGGACAAAGTCATTCTCATCACGGGAGCGTCTGCAGGAATCGGCCTTGGAACTGCTCAGAAGCTTGCCAGTGAAGGCGCCATTCTGACTCTCTTTGCCCGTCGTGGCGACAAGCTCTTGGCAGCCGAGAAAGAGCTCAAAGCCGCGTACCCCAACGTCAAGACCCTTGCAGTGGTTGGAGATGCTGCCAAGGAGGAAGATGTCAAGAGGGCTGTGGAAGAGACTGTCAATGCATTTGGAGGCATTCATGGCGCCTTTATCAACGCCGGAATCTACCGCCCTGGAAAGCTCACTGAGATGTCCAATGACGACATGAACGCACTCTTGGACGTGAACGTCAAGGGCGTCATTTATTCCTTGAGGCATATCATTCCTGCCATCAAAAAAACTGTCGGGGACAGCCAGAATGGATATATCCAACAGGGATCCATTGTCGTCAACTCGAGTTGCATGGCGACGGCCGTCATTGCGCCCAAGAGCGCGGGATCATCTATCTATTCGGCTACAAAGGCCTTTGTCAACTCTATAGTCGAGACTGCTGCAATTGAAGAAGCACCCCTCATTCGCATCAACAGCGTTATGCCCGGTGTGGTCAAGACCGAAGTGATTCCATTGGAAGACGAAGCCTACGAGGCGTTTGCAGCCAAGATGCAACCCCTCTACGGACGGGCTGGGACACCCCAAGAGATTGCGAATGTTGTCTCATTCCTTCTTGGGCCAGGAGCCTCGTTTATCTCTGGAACGAATGTCAAGGCCGATGGTTTGTGGAGTCTCAGTGGAGGAAGTCTGGAGTAAGCGGATGAAAAGAGCAGCACATGCATACTGCAGCGGTAGAACCATTGCGTAGATTTAAAAGTAAATTGAGAGAACTACTAGCAATCCTGTTTTGACCCAGATGGATGGATTGGTGCAAACCTGCCTAACGAAGTGATCTGCCTAGTCTGACTAGGAGAAAATGTTGATCTTCTCATGAATACAAGCTAGTCGTTTGGCTTCGGTTCAATATGCTGGAATAGCCAGTGTGCTTCCTGTACGTGCCAGATCAATCCTGTTTGTTTATTGTTTTGATTCAGTTCTCCTCCCCCTAACTACAAGATCAGTTCTACCTTGCCTTGTCCAAACAATTCTCGAACCAGATTGTAGCGAGTGATCAACGTAGTGCCGGGATCGTGTTGCTGAATACTAGGTTCATCTTCGGTACCAATATCAATCTCCGATGTTTCCTTGACCCGGACAAAGACGAATTGTTCCAGATCAGGCTTATCGATCATTTCTGGTTCGTCCAAGTTTTTGAGGGCGTCCTTGGCGACATGATCCAGAACGGTTCGACGCATGTAGCCTTCAAACAATTGACCATATCCTTTTAGAAATTCAAACTAGCCAAAAGAAAAAAAGGATGAGAATACTCTATTACAAACCAACCCCATCCATCGTTCTTGTTGCTTGTACTAACTAACCTCTGATTCACTCATTCGATCCACAAGGTCTCTCATGTGAAGTGGATGCTCCTGTATCTTCCAAAGACGCATCCTTAGTAGATCACTAAGCATGAATTGGGCTCGATCACAGTCCACCTTGAGGACACTGCCCAATAGTGCTTCAATATCTCCCGGTTCCTCACCCATGTCGTCAATGACAGCTTGTTGTCGTTCTATTTGATCGCTAATTGCTTCTACCAATTCTTCATCCAGTGGCAAGAGTTCGGGACATGCCAATTCTTGTTGCCAGAGGCGCTTGAGCTTGACGTAGTAGTGGTGGTTCTCATTCGTTTCCAATTCGACCAGATCTTGATCGGCTTCGTCGTGCTTTTCTTGCTCCGAGCCGTAGCCTTGTTGCTGCTGTTCAAACTCTTCCAAGGCTGCTGGAAGCTCCACGTGCTCACGGTCTGCATTATCATCATTATCATCGCTATCTTCATTATCCTCATAGGAGGCAATCTGGGTATTAGGTACCTCCACCTCGTCCTCTTCTTCGCCAAGAGCATCGTCGACTTCGTCTAAGAGATTGGAAAGATCCGCCATGGTTGTTTGCTGTTATTACTGAGCTATCGTGTTCTACAACACTGAAACAAACTCAATGTACGGTGACAACTCTGATGATGCTTGTACCGGTAGCAAGCCTCTCATTTATCGGAATGTCATTGGCATTGGCTTCGCGAAAGTACGGTTTCTAATTTTAAAAGCCAGCTAACGCTGTAAATATGATTGGGAAGAGGGTGGGAGGATATATTGTTTACAGCGGTATCGTTACCGCACCAGGACCAGTACCGGTACCGGTGCCGGTAGACTCTACTCTAGTCAAAATGGGCACCGCGTGGGATCTTTAGGCACAGACGTATGCTTTCTCGGATGCAGAAGGTGACCTTTAGAAGAATACATCAAACAACAATACTGAACTACATGTAATCGCTGCTGAAGTTATTCATGTAGAGATCTTACTTTTTAAAAAGTAAGTTGCGTTCCTGGTATGGATAGTACTGCCATCGGCCCATTCGACTCCGATCTCTAGCCAGTGTTCAGAACATGAATGAAATAGCCAATGGAATACGTGGCACACAGGGTTCCGTTCCACGAAATGAGAGGGGTTGAGTGCACTCTAGTGCAACTGTACCTGGTACCGGCACCATACTAGTACTGTACAGTACTAGTATGTACATGTACCACGAACTGCCGCTGCATGACGAAACGTGCATCATTAGCGATGGTTTGACTCGACTCCTCCACTGCTGACTGCTTCCATCGCAACACCCAACTAAAACCTGAAAATTGAGATTCCTTATAGAGATCAAAGAATTGGAATGGAGGAAAGCACATGGCTCATTCATATGACATACAATAAGCCATGCACATGAACCAGAAGCAACAACCCATCTAATAAATGTTGTACCGGTGGACCATCGCTCCTTTGCAAATGTATTCGCCACTTTGCAACTTTATTTTGGTGGGACTCAAGAAATCTTTTCCTCGAATCGTGCTTCACGCCTGGCTGCCACCGACATCAACCACAAAATCAAGTCATCACACTCTCGAACAAAACCTGAACGAAGAGGCTTTGGTGCTCTCAAAGAAGCACTGTAAGTGTTGTGCACTGATTACAAAAGATCAAGGAAAAGCTCCATCGCGACATTGGAAGCCGACTGTGAAGCCGACGGTTGAGCCGAAACGAAAGGGACAACAAATTAAACATCCCGCTGGATCAGTCTCTTCCCACCGACTACAGCAACACCCTGCCAAAGCACGAATCAAATCAACAGACAAGATGGTAGAAGTCAAGGGCGCAGCCTATGTTATGGAGGGCGATGATGGTTCTGATGACAGTCCTCCGTTGGTCGAAGCCTCTCATGTGATTCCTGACTTGCATTCCATCGAACCCATGATGGTTTCGGTCGTAACGATCGATGGCGCCGATCCTTTGTGCCAATCGAGCGTGATTTCGTCGGATTCGGTGGAGGCAGTGGCATTTTCCGATGACAGTGACCCTGAAACTGCGCCTAGCTCTCGAAAGTGGAGTGCTGGAATTGCAGGAGGCGTCCTTGGTACGCTCTTGGCTGGTCCAGTGGTCGGTTTGGTAGCTGGAGGCGCTGCTGCCTACTACGCCAACAAGGATGGCGCAGCCGGTGATGTATCAAGGGCCATGGCAGATGTGGCCTCAACGACGGGCAAGAAAGCCAAAGAGCTGAACGAAAAGCACCACCTACTTGACAAGTCCAAGGAGGCTGCGGGCGATGCGTGGGTCGCTGTGAAGAACCTTAATGACGAGCACAACATAACGGAACGTTCACAAGCCGCTGCGAAGAAAGCCTGGAGGAATGCCAAGGAATTTGACCAGAAACATCGTGTGGTCGACAAGATCGCGGCCTTTTCTATCTTGTGTTTCAAGCGGATTGTAAAGCTCTTGGAGCAATTTGCTGACAGGCTCAAGCAAATTGAACAGAACAAGAGCTCTACCGAATCAACACCGAAGGTAGCACAGCCAGTTCGACAACCAGCTACTTGCTACTGAACTTTATCCTCCCATCTCCTTCCTCTCAAAGCTGGTTGCATAGATATTATTTGTCCTAGTGTTAGTTAACAGTCCTAATCTCCATTACTTCTTCCTTATCATACTCAGGCCATCTCTTACTTGCAACAGTAACACCTCGCACCTTGGATCCTTCGCAATGGCGCTGTTGAAACGATGCATTTTGCTTGCCAAACGCCTTGCTCGGCGGTTCTTTTTGATTTCTGCGTCGCCAGAGCCTTCCCCGTCTATCAGAAGGGGCGACGAGCCTGCAGCTCCCAGCACAAGTCCTTTCCAGAGTACATTGTCCACTACAATCATCCCACCCTTCTTCAAGACGAGATCACTGGCAAGGCAAGCATCAACGTACTCCAATAACCGGGTCTTGTCGGCATCCACAAACACAAGGTCAAACGGAGACGGCTGGTCGATCTGACTGCTCTCTCCTCGGGCCATCTCTTCCATGGTAGCGAGAGCGTCCGAGACTTTGAGAAGGTCACAAGTTGCCGCGTTGTCATAGACGACAGAAACCACATCCTCCAAAACGGTTTCCACAAAATCAGCCTCGCCGGAAGCCCGTAATGAACAAGCAGCCTCCGCACCCGCTTCGCCAGTGCCATGTTCTGTCATGACGTTCATGTGAGCTGCGGCAAGGTTGAAAGCTCGCTGGTCACGTTCCAGAGACAAGACGTAGGGACCACTGCTTTGATTGCCAGCTGAATCCAAGCTGATTGCCGACGCCACGTTGGCAGCACCTTCCAGAAAACATGCCGTTGCATAGCCAGTGAATGTCCCCAGCTCCAGGATGCGTCCTTCTCGTGTCATGGAGGCCAAATTAGTCAGCAGCCGACCCTGTTCAAAACCAGAAACCATGTGGCTTCCAGATGGAAGGTATGATTGTGTGTTGAGTTCCATTTCATGATACAAGGAGGGAGCGGGGCTGGAATGGCCAGTGCTGTACTCATCCAATGTACGATATGGTGTTGTCTTTTCTTCTGAAGAATCTGCAACCGAAGTTTGGGAAGAGTCTCCATGCAAACGCTGAGAGAGCATACCATTGTTGACCAGTCGCTGCCTGCATGCATCTGAGCAAGTTCCATGAAAGGCTGTGCGGCAAGTTTCACACTGGATCATTCTCTTGTGGCAGTTGTCGTTGAGGCAGTTGCTAATCAAAGAAGTCTCGCCTCCACACGTAGCGCACGATCCGAGTTTGTCGTCTGTGATTTGTCGGCCCAGTCTGCCATCAAAGACCATATTGGCACCGCGAAAAAGTGGCTGTTCATCGGCAGCCTTCTCCTCAATGGTACGATCATAGGCAATAATGCCACCAGCTAACCTGCTCACATTAGTGAAACCCAGCTCTTGTGTCAGGTAGGCACCGACCTTCACACACCTAATGCCACCTGAATGATGCCAACACATACGGTATACACAAGTCAGAGACAAGATACACAGATTCTTTCACAACATGTTTTAAAAGTAAGCGACACTTGCCTGTGCAATAGGTCATGATTGGTGCATCTTTTGGAACGTCCTCTAAACGTTTTCCCAGCACGTCCCTTTGTCAAGAATGCAAACAAGCTATCAGAGAGTTCAACAATAATGTCAAAAAGCACAAGCGCGGCATTCCTCTTACCAACTCTCACGGAAATTTGTCGTTTCTAATGGCTCTGCGCCGTCAAATTTTCCAATGTTTGTTTCATAATCGTTTCGGCAGTCTAGAATGACCGGAATATCCTTGTTTTGGTCGGCTGTTGTTCCTGCTGCCTGTTCTCTCAGTTCCTTGGCCTCTTTGAGCTTTTCATGCCATTCCAAGGGTGGCATGTCGTACCCTGCAGATTGCCAGTCCAGTGGTTTGTCCAAGCCATCGGCCACAATTTGGTTTCGAACGCGAATGTGTAGATTTCGAAACGGCGGAGCCGGTTTTCCATTAATGGGTACACCAGCAGTGGCAAACTCTTCCACTGGAATTGGCTTGGGATCCACATTGACACCATTTTCCATGTAAGTTCCAAGTTGAGGAATGCTGCGACAACAATCAATAAAGTTCTCCAAACTGATACAAAGCCCAACAATGCGAGGCAACGGGATTGAGTACGCAAGTACGCAGCAAGACCTTGTACTGCAACTGGATGAGACAAAGAACAAAGAGACTTACACATTCGTTGCCACGCTCATTTGCGCATTCACTCCTTCTTTGGCCACATAGATTCGTCCTAGCGGATTGAATGGCTTCCATTTCCGTCGTAGCTGCATGGCAAAGTCTTCGGGATCCTCAATTCCAGAAGGAGGAAAGGAATAGAATGACAGCATGGTCATAGTTTCACTTGCAGCAGGATTTGCCATGCCCTCCAAGTAGGCTGGAGGAGGCGGTGGCGGAGGAGCATTGGGATCCTTGGCCAAGTGCAAACTAATGGATGGACGCTTGAGTGAAGCGGGGGCGGATTGAAAGTGTTCGTCGGCCATGGCAAACGTTTTATTGACATCCTCATCGGTTTCAATCTTCCACATCTTTGTGTTTGTCAAGTCCTCTGGTACTACAATGGATCCATCCTCTGCCACCTCTGGTAAACATGCGGAAAGTACAAAGGTGGACTTTTTGAGAGCTTTAAAAAAGGCATGAATGTCATATTTCAAACTCTTGAGACTCCTTGTGGCAGGTGATCCAAGTTCAATAAAAACACGTCCTCTTCGTTCGCGTCCCGATAAATGTAGCTCATTTCGAAGTTCTTCACAGACAGAAACTTTCAAAGCATAGAGTGCAGGTACTTGAAAGTCGGTCGATTGTTCTTTTTCCTCGGTGATTCGCTTGATATGGAGATGACGTTTATTGGTTTCCAGAACGGATCGTTTCCATGCTGCTTTTTTGGCTCTGGCCACTTCAATGCGTTTTTGTGCAAGATCCTGGTTGGAAGAAAGCGTATTGAACAGACGGCTGACCGTCGGAACAACCCAAGATCGGGAGTAGGGCAGTCGAGACCTTAGGGCTGCGGCCCTCATTGGAACAGCTGGCTGGAACGATGCCACAGATGGAAGGCTCACAACAAACAGGACGACAAAGATACACCACACAAAGTTCGGATTGGTGGATTGGAACATTGTCATCTCGGAGACCAGTTATTGGATCTTTGGGAAGAACCGGTAGAATCGAAATCTCTCAGAACTCGAGGACTCAATCCAATTGAACTGGCTTTCAATACCAGATAATCAATTTGTTGTTATCAAACGTGTAGCTAATGATGCTGAGCTTTGGCACTGGATGAGTTGCTTCCCTTCCTCTCCAAGGTTGGGAGAGAGGACCCAAGGAGAGGAGTGGGCTCGGATTTTTGCCTCGGCGATTTGATTTGTGGTGCCAACGTCAGTCACGAATTATGCGGAGTCAGTGTGAGTCACTAGTTCGATCACCATAGCCATCACATCGGTAAGGATTGGACAATAGCTGCCCGGCGCGAAAAGCACGTTCTGCAATAATATTGCAGGATCAACCTCAAATCGTTCCCAACTCATCATTTTTCGACAATGGCCAAAAATGCCGTCGAATCGGGTGTTTCCACCCTTGTCCTGCTACACATAGTCGCCCTAGAGCCTTGTGTGTTCATTGGGTGCTTTGGTCTAATGGATGGATGTCAAAAACAGCAGACTTCTAGCGTGTTTTGGGCTTTGTTCGAACGTTTTGTTGTTGTGTGTTGTTGTTGTCGGAGGTTTGGGAGTCCGCCGAGCTCATGATCATTCGTGGAAACCTTAAATCGTTTTGCAGTGCCGGCTGGCGCCTAATGTACCTCATGAACCGATGTGCCATGGCCGTGCTTCCAAGGATGTCGAGCATGCATGGGACGAAGACGCACAGCATGGGCATTTGGAACTGCCAAAACATGCAATTGGAATGTGAGTGCCCATGGTACAGTATGTAGATGATGATCTGGGTTCCGAAATCGAGGTGCCCAACAGGTCAACGCTTGGCTGGAAAACTTCAATCTCGGTACTTAAATCATAAACAACGCAAACTCTTAGTTTTGTTCCTCCTACTATTACTTTTAACAACATCTTACTTGAATAGATTTTAATTGGCAGCCTTTGCTTCCCTGGCCTGCGAAAGCATTTGCTGGTATATGGAACCTGTGGATTCTGAGGCTGCTGCAGCCGATCCAACCGCAGCAGGAGTTTTTTGGGGTTCCGGAATGCCAGTATCCAACTCTTGCATCAAGATGGCCCGCATCTCGGCAATGCTATCGGCCAAATCGGTGGCTTCCTCCGATGTGAGATCTTCTCGCAATCCCAACTTTCCGTCCCCTGCAGCTGCCTGCAACTTGTCGTAGATACTCTCTAGTACCTTGGAGTTTTCGTCGAGTGCAGTAGTCGATGCTTCTTCAATTACTTCTTCTGCCGGGACAACATTGTAAAATTGCGCGGGTTTGGTCGTCGCTGGTGGCTTTTCCATGGTCGCGGTTGCCGCTTGATATTGCTGAAAGTTCTCCACGTCATTCTCGGCAATAACCTTGTTGCAGGTATTGATAGCTGACAAGAGAGCAGCCCGTAGAGTCAGCAGGACCCCTTGCTGAAGCTCTGGTGGACTGTTACGATACATCATAATGGCACCCTCCACACATCCAAACATGGTTTCGACGCTGCCTCCAGCTCCAGCGGCAGAAGGCGGAACACCTTCGTTCTCACCCAACGCTTTGCTGATCGTGTTGACGGCGGACAGCAACGCAGCCCTGACAGTCATCAAGACACCTTCCTGCAGTTCGGGAGGGCTGTTCTTGTACATGGTGATTGCACCGTCGATACAAGCCAACATGATTGCAATCTCATCGCCAGATGAGGAAGCGGGAGCTGCCGGGGCTGCCGCAGTGACAACTGGTTGTGGCGCAGGAGCAGGTGCTGGAGCGGTGACTGGAACTGTTTGCAAGGGCGTCGAAAAGTCCGCACTCGACACGGCTTCTTCCTTCAACAGCGCGGTGATCTCTGCCAAGAGATTTTCATATTGACCAATTTCTTGTCCCTTGAGTCCGCCGGCACCAAAGCCAGGGCCTCCACGGTGCTTCAAGATCAAGCCCATCAAAGTACGGAGCCCCTGCCTGATTTCATTGGGAGAGCCCCATTCCGAAGTAGATTGTTGAGGTGGGGACGGTGGTATATGCGGTGGTTGCGCTTGTGCTTCAGCTTGAGGTTCGACTGGAACTGGGGCCGATGCAGCAGGGGGTTCCTCCAAAATAAGTTGTTCAGGGGCAGCTTGTATCTTTGGTACCGGTGGAGCCTCTACCTTTGGTGCCTCTACCTTTGGTGCCTCGGGTTCTGCTGGCTGGGGTGCCACTTCTGCCTTTGGTGGTTCAGGAGCCGTTTGGGCAACAGCGTTTCCAACTCCACCCATTTTCTTTCGCCTTTCCGCCAGCTTTTGCTTGTAGCTGGGACCGGCTGCTCCCTTACTGGGCTTGTATTCTTGGGCGTTCTGGAAGGCAATCATTTCTTCCGCAGCGGTTTCAATCAATTTCTGTTCTGCTTCTCGCTTTCCACTAATATGACAAGAAATTTAATTAAAACAAGTAAGTGAGAATAGTGGTACAGAAAAGCAGAGACCAATCCCTCCTCGAGAGAATGGGTTCAACTTACGCCAAGTGAGGATTCTCAGAAATCATGCCCTTGAGCTCTTCGATTTTCTCGTCTTCAAAGACCGCATTGGCCTTTTCATCATCTCCCCGAATTCTTGCAATTCCTCGAACAGTGGAATCCCTCTTGAGCTGAGCAAAATAGACATCAGCCGTGTTCTGAATGGTATCCGCATCTCTGTTTCTTCCCTCCTTACGATCTGGTTTTGGAGGTCTGACGTTTTGATAAAGAGGAGCTGGCGCCGGTGCTGCTTGTTGTCCCTGCATCATGGCACGGAACATTTCCGCTTGCTGCTCGACCGTCAAAGCATTCGGATCGAGGCCAGCTGCCGGTGGCTGCTCTGGGGTCGTGGCAGGATCGAGTCCTTCAATGCCTGCGAACGGGTTTTCGACAAATGGATTCTTCAAGGTTTGTGGACCTTCAGCAGCTTGTCGACTCTGAGCCTTTTCCATCATTTCCCTGAATCGAGATCCTCCCCCGTACTGTTCATCGTCAGATTTCATTTTCTCTTTCATATCATCCGACAAATCTGCGCCGTCCAGCGATTCCGAGGGAATTTCTCCATCATCGTCTCCAACCCGAAGCACCGAAAAAGATCGAGGGTATCTGTGCGCAAAAGACCAACCAGCTGCCGAAAACGCATCGGTAGTTTCCAAAAACAGCCCGATCGACTGAGCCGCCGCTAAAGCCAGAAAGAGACGCATGATTTATTGCTTGTTACTCGATACCTATGGAGTAAATATTAAATGGTCGACTTGTACTGTTGTTTTGTGGATGTCCTTTCGAAAGAACAAATGATCCACAATTGAAGTGGGTGGACGTCGCGGGGCACTTACGCACATCCAAAGGTTGATGCCATGCGAGGATCTGGGACACGTAATACACTGCTGACGTTCAAAATGGGTCTGAAATTTCAGTCCTTCCCACGCTGTGGAAAACTTAACCGTTGATATGAACACTGGAGCTTTGCTGCGCGCGATGCAGTGCACTGCGAGTTCATCAAAACTTGAAGCATTAACCCAAGAGCGAGCGAGCTTCGGTACCAGTACCGGTTCCATGCACCGACCACTTATGTATTGTTGGCCTTTAGCACATGCAACGAATTACCGGCACATCGAGACAGTGGTTATCATAGTCGTTACGTCGTTACTCGCTAGCTAGCTAGCTAGCTAGCTAGCTAGCTAGTACCACACGTATTCATTTCGGTTTTTAAACTCGCCGCATGGAATTCGATTGATTCGAGTCTGAATCATCACGTTTCTCCTGGACTCACTTCTTGGTTCACTGCACTACAGTAGTACTCACAAAACACTCATCTTTTGCTTGTTTCCTTCAGCATCATGGCAACTCCTACTTCCACAGAACAATCCCTTGCTCGTGCTTCTGCCCCAGAGGACTTTGACATGGCCCTCTCACTCTGCAAAAGCGCGCTGGTGCGAATGCAAGCAAATGGTGATGATGAGAGTATCAACCAAAAGCTTGAAGCAATGGCTGTCATGATGAAGTGCTTTGGGTACAAACAAGCCAACCATCACGAAACCAGTGCTTCAACGTACGCGCAATGGGATCAACTGGATGATGCAATTTGGGTCAATGGCATCCTTCCCTTTGTTGGCATGGGTCATTATGCCTTTGTGGCAGGAGTCAATCACAGAATGAGAGATCTATATGTGACATACTGCTCAATGCTAGTGATAGACATGCGGCCTTGTGTGAGATGGAATCGGTGGGACTTTGGAAAAGCCTGCAGCACTGATACATTTTACAGAGCAGTTTGTGCTAGTGTGTCTTGTGCAGAGTCTTGGTACAACGATGGCACCATAAAGACTCACGAAGAGGAGATAATGATCTGTCAAAGCACAGCAAAGGTTGGAAACCTTGCAGTCACTCAGTGGTCTCATGAACATGGGCTTTCATGGGACAGTGAAACATGCTCCAGAGCTGCTGCAAATGGCCATTTGGACGTGCTTAAATATGCCCATGAATGGTGTCTTGGGATGAACACACATGCAGATAGCTGCTGAAAAGGGCATTTGAAAATCTGAAATACGCTCATGAGAATGGCTGTCCATGGAACCAAGACACATGCAAAAATGCAGCCAAAGAGGGTCACTTAAATGCCTCAAGTATGCCCAGAAAAGGCTGTCCCTGGGATGCAGAAGTGTGTGCAAATGCTGCCAAAGGTGGCAACTTAGAATGCCTCCATTTATGCCCATGAAATGAGGTGTCCATGGGATCAAAGAGGTTGTGCAAATGCTGCGAGATGTGGCCACCTGGCATGCTTGAAGTATGCCCATGAAATGGCTGTCCTTGGGATGAATTTACATGTTCAAGTGCTGCAGGCAGTGGCCACTTCCACATATTGAAATGGGTCAGAGATAAGGGCTGCCCATGGGATGATCGGACATGCTTTTTTGCAGCAGGTGGTGGACACATTGACATTTTGAAGTGGGCCAGGGAGGAGGGCTGATCCATGGGATGAATGGACATGTGCTTCTGCAGCAGAAGGTGGACACTTAGAAATTCTTAAATATGCACATGAAAATGACTGTCCATGGGATGCTGACACCTGTGCAAATGCTGCTCTTTGGGGTCATTTTCGAAATAGTGAAAGTATGCATCATGAAAAGGTGTCCCTGGTTGTGATGCGACATGCTTTTGTGCTGCTCTTTCTGGTTGTTTGGAGACATTGAAGTATACCCACGAAAATGGCTGCCCATGGAACCAGGAAATATGTGCGAGAGGCTGCTGAATTGGATATTTTTGATCTCCTCCAAGTATGCCCATGAAAACAATTGCCATGGCGATGAAGAGAACAATGCGTTTTGAAGCTGCTGCAAATGGACACCTGGAAATATTGAAGTATGCCCATGAAAATGGCGGCCCTTGGGATGAGAGAACATGCACCAAGGCCGCTCAGGAAGGGCATTTCAAGATATTGCAGTATGCCCTCAAACATGGTGCCCATGG